GACTTTATGAAGTTTTGCACTTTGTTTGCTACTGCAATACTAGAATGTTTGGGTGGAAATACTAAATAAAAAGTTATTTATCAATAAAACAGTGCTGAACTGATCTAGAGATTTTGTTCCTTAATTTTGGTGGGCTTCTCATCTCATAGCTGTTAATATGTAATTCTTGCCATTACTGGGTACTCGCTCTTTTTTTAGTAGAATTTTTATCGCGTGGGAAACAAGGAAGCAACCTTCTGTATTTCTGAATCTTGTGATTCAAAGCCTAAGACAGCCTTTATGGGTGAGATTTCCCCCTTCCTTAACTTCTCAGATGATGAATAGTTGAAAATGCCAGTCTAGGGGCAAGGAAGTTTCACAGGAAGTCATGGACTGCCCAACTGGAGTACTTGTTTGTTAGGAGTTTTCTGAATCCTGCTCCCTTCAGTTCAATGCATTTCTTCTCCTCCTTTTTGATGGTTCACTTTTAATGGGAAATGATTCTGAGAAGTTTTGAGCAGCTGCTGCTCCCAGGAAACTGGAGCAAGGAATGTCCTGCCAGCACACGGATCACTGCTTACTAATCCTCTGAACACAGTATGTGTGTATATATATATATATATATACATATATATATATTTGTCTACTTTTAAACTTGAATGGCCTTGTCTGTACCACCCCCAAGTACTTCCATCACTGTGTTTCACAGCCTGTTGCCTAGATGCTGCCAGCATGCTGCCTGTGTGGGTAAGGGAGAATGGGCAGAAAGGGAACTGTGGCTCAGAAATGTGCAGTGCTGCATTTGTAGAAAAGGAAAGAGCCTGGGAGATATTCAGGAGAATGAAGATGCTTTTTGAGCTTCTTTTCTTGTCCCCACTCTCACTTGTGGCTGGTGGCTGCTCTGGAATCTAAACAGCCTTCAGAAGGGAGGACGGTACTCATTTAGCCTCATTGCTTTTGCACAGATGAATTCTGCAGCTCTGCCTGCCGGGTTGAACCACGATCATCTTTGCACCCAAAAACTGGGCTTGAAGGGTTCTGATAACAATAGGTCTGACCAGAGCACGACAGGGAGAACAAAATGCCTTAATTTTTTTCTGTTTGTTCAGTAGTTGCTGTTGACGGTATTGATCTCAAAGTCATTTTGTGTCACTCCACTTTTTGCTCTCTTGCACTGCCTCTCACCTCAGGCTGGGTAAGGGATGCTGCTCCTTTCCTTGGCACTTAACACTCAGTTGTGATAAGAGCACTGGCCTGGAGCCTGATCTGTCATTTGCATTCAATCTTGCTGTCATCCTTGTGCTTTGGGAACCTGCTCTTGGAGACTTCAATTGTTACACTTCTTACTTTTTCTCCTATGGGAACCAATCTGTGGTGGAGATGAGGAATGACACCTTCCCCTTTCCTTCTGGCCAAGCACAGTTACTCCAGGGCACCTTGAACGCTCTAGGGATGCTCCAACCAGCATGTTCCTACTGCTTTCTCCAAAACGTGGGTTTTTAAGTGCAAGGGTATTTTAGGATGTTGCTCAGAGATGCGCCCTGAGGCAGGATGGTGGTTGTGGGCAGCCAGGTGTGTGGGAGGATAGGAGCAACTGTGGCAGCTGTTACTTCTGATGATTTTGGGATTTCACCTGTGAGCAAAAAGCCTCTGTAAGGGTAATTTACAAAGAGTCCTGAAGGCAAGAGCCTGGGGGGCCTGGCTTGAAAGGAGGGTCTTGGAGTTAGCCTGCAGAAGAGAAGGCTGAGGAAAGAACACTTATAAAAGGATTTGGGGATGAAAAATCTTTTATAGGTAGAGAGAATCAGGCACAGAAGGCCTTAAGCCGCAGAGAGGTGAATTTAGGTGAGACGGTAGAGAATCCCCCTGGAGCCTAGAAATTCATTGGAATTCAAGTTTCATTGCAGGTTCTAAAAATGGGTAGGATGTATCCGCGGAAGCGGGGGCTGTCCTCTCCTCCGGACTGGAGGTGGGTGCGAGAAATCCCCGCCTTACGGCGCTGAATGGTGCTCTCCGCGCTCCGGCACTCCGCGCTGCCCTCATGGACCGTCCGCTGTGCGCGGAGCCGGAGCCCGGCGAGGCAGGAGGAGCTCCCAGCACCGCAGCTGGGTGACGGCCGGGCCGTCGGACGGGAGGTGGGAGATGAGCGGGGAGGAGCGGGAGGCGAAGGCGGTTCCGCAGGCTGTGCCGCGGTACGTGCGCTCCGGAGGGCTCGGAGGGTCCCGTTCCTTTCGCAGCCCGACCCGCGGGCTCCGCTGCCCCGCGGAGCGGCGCGGTCTCCATCCCTCGAGGGGCCAGGAACGGCGTTGCCGTGCGTGGATAAATCCGGAATCCCCGGAGACGGACAGCCTGCGGGAACCGGCGCTGCTCCGCGTCTCCCTGGGGCGGCGGCGGTGTGCGGGCTGAGCCCGCAATGCGGGCGGTGAGGCGCGGCGTGCGGCGATGCTCCGCACGGAGCGCCGCCCGGGCGGGGAGCGGGGCAGAAGCCGCGCTCCGTCCTGCGTGCAGTGCGGCGTCGGGGTTAGCGGGAGCGGGGGACGGAGCTGAGCGTGCGGCTCCGGGATGCTGAGTTTCCCGAGGAAAGCTTGGAGTCCCAGAGCGGGAGCTGAGCGGATGGTGCTGTTTGTGACCCAGGTGTGAGGCGGCGCTTTTCGTGGGCGTTAGAACCCGAGCAATTAAGAAGCAGGCAGCGGATGCGTGACAGCTTGAGCCTAAAGGAGTCCGTGTTTACCTGCGCTGTGTTTTCATGCACACAGCGGCTGCGAGGGGAATTCGGCAGTTTGACCCCACCACGTGTTGCCTGGTCTCCACTGCGCTGTGTTGCATTAACGGTGTGCTGATAATGAAGGCTGCATAATGAGAGCCGACGCAGAGCTGCGTGGCTTGCAGGCAGTGGGCGTGCTGGGGAGAGAAGGGCTGGGAGGCACAGGTGTGCTTTGGCAGATCCAAAATGATGTCTTCCAGATGTTGCTTTTCAAACATCTTACCAAGGAGAGCTTGAGTTTTCATGTTGTGCCTTATGTTAACAGCTGCTGGCCATAGAGGTTTTGTCAGCCCAGAGGAAATGCAGATCTTTATGGAGAAACCTGAGTTTCTGCCATCAGCAGGATGAAGATGGACACTGTTCATTGAGCAGTGGCATCCGCAACACTGTGTGCTCTGCTTTGTTGAGAACTGGGATGATTGAACTTGATGATCTTCAAGGTTGTTTCCAAACCTAAACAGTTCTGTGACGCGTGGCTACACTGCAAGCTGCACGCATGCTTCTCGACATAAGAAAGCTGCAAAGCAAGATAGGATGACAGCCTCCTGGAGGCTGGGTTACACACTGCTGCAGAAGCAAGTGGCTTAGCCAAGGTGACCTTCAACCATGACTGAGCTCTTGGTGGCTCAACAGCGTATTGCTGGGTAGGGCAGCTAAACCAGCTTGCACTGAACCAGAATCTGAGTTCAGATGTGAATCACAGCAGGAAGAACTTTGCTCCAGCTGGGTAGATGAAGTGAATGTAGAAGACAGTTGTTTTATTCTTGTCAAAAGAGGGAAACATCTTGCAGCCCAGTTCCCATCCTGGCTTTTGGAGGAGGAACCTGTGCAGCTGTACGGTCCTGTGAATTCTTCTAAGACCAAATTATGGAAATGTTAGATGGGAAGGCAACTCTGGAACTTGCTCCTCTGAGCAGACCCAATGCTCAGTCAGGCTGCCCAGGGCCTTCTCCAGCTGAGCCCTGCAAACCCGAGTGGTGGTCCCACCAGTTCTGGTACCTGCCTAAGTTCTGCATCACTTTGTAGCAAGGAATTTTTCACAGATCCCCGCTTAGAGTTCCTCTTGTTCATCCCTGCTGCCCCCTGTGCTTCTCCCAGGCACCTCCCAGAGAAGCCTGGTTTTGTCTTTCCTGCAAGTTCTTTCCTTTTGGACAGCAGATGACTGCATGAGAGTCCTCCACTGTTTTCTGTCCTGATTTCAGCTGAGGCAGCACTGATTTGCTTTGCAGTGTCTGATGTGATGCTGTGTTTTAGCTCTGGGAGAAAAGCAGCGTTGGCAACACACCAGTGCTACACAGAGCCAAGGCTGTTTCAGCTTCTGGTGCTGTCCTGACAGTGAAGGGGCTGGAGGGCACAAGGAGGGGGAGGACTGAGCTGGAGGACCAACCACAACACCTTCCCTCTCCAGGATGAAGATGTCTGGGTCTCTCATCTTCTCCTCATACACTCTGCTCTTCTCCGTGCTCATCCTGACGGCCCTGCTCTGTACCCCTTCAGCTCACCAAGACCTCTGTTATGCTGCGGGCATCACACTGGACGCAGAATACAGATGCAGCTCTGCTGGTGCTCACTGGAGGGGAATAACCTCTGTGGGCCTCCTGGCTGTGCAGCAGTACAGACAGCCAGAGCGGGCATGGTTCCCTGCAGGACCAGCAGGCACCCTCGGGTCTGCCCAAGAAGGGATGCTGGCTCCAGGTGTGATGCTTGTACACTGCATTGCATCCCCATGACAGCACACCTGCACTTGTGTCCCTCGTGAGCAGCAGTTAGCAGCTGTCCGTGGGTTCCAGAACCAGGGAAGACCTGCTTTATGGGTGGCTGCAGTCCTTCACAAGAGCAGCGGCAGAGGTGTTGGTTGACTCCGGTTTGTGTTTCTTAAGCAGTAATGATAACTCCCCGGTGTGGGCCAGGGAGAGCAGCCCTGGGTGGGAGATGAGCTGCCTGCTGGCACAGCCAGGAGTGAGGCATCATTGCCCAGCCCCAGGTGCTGAGTGTCAGGAATGTGGGGACTGCAGCCGTGCCAGGGGAGGCCGAGCATCCGAGCAGATGACAGCTCTAAATTTAAGGGCTTGCCGTCGAGCTGCGTACATGTTAATGTGCCCTTTTGTGGCCAAGCTAAAGATAATTCTCCTATCTGGAACAACAGCTGCCCTACGAGTTGTGTAGAGAAACCGCCCTGCTAAGGAAAACTTGCTTTAAATAAGTTCAGTATCTTCTTCAGGTCTGAGTCAGAAAGTGGCCAGGGGGCTCCATAGGGAGCACTGCCACTGCCCAAAGGGTGGGTGCTGGGGTGCAGCTGTGCAGCGTTCCCACAGAGCTGGCTCAGACTGTGAGTCCGCAGGACAAGGTGCGTCCAGCACCGTGGAAATGGGAGGGGGGCCCCGAGCAATCTGTGCTCTGGAGATAGCCACGCTTAGAGCATAAATCTTGTGCAACTCTGTGATAGCCAGCACTCCCCCGCCAGCAGGGCTGCCGGGTCATGTTTCATGCAGGCAGTGCTATGCTCTGTGTTTGCATTTCAGGTTCTGCTTCAGCACAGGAGTGAGATTTGCCAGACTGCTCTAAGATGTCTTACAGAAAGGAGCTAGAGAAATACCGGGACCTGGATGAGGACAAGATCCTCGGAACCCTCACAGAGGAGGAGCTCAGGAAGTTGGAGAATGAACTGGAAGAGCTGGACCCTGATGTAAGTTGCTTTTAAATGAGACCTGTTCAGTGGTAAATCCCATGTAGCTGTGGGCAGATGAGCTGTGCTAGTGACCTGTTCTGCCACCGAATCCTTTGCAGAGCCTGCACTTGGTGCAAGGATGGAGGAGGCTGGCCCTAGAGAAGCAGAAGCAGCTGTGCCATTGCCAGCACTGGCTGTGTATGGGGCTCTGTTTTGAGCTGTTCCCCTGCCTGTTCCCAGCATGCACACTTCAGTGTGACGGCGCTGTATTGATTTCTGGCTCAGCAATTAGTGGCCAGACTGATGGAAAACTTGCCTGTTGTTGCACGGTTGTTGCTTTGCACCACTTTTCGCAGCATGGCATTGGCTGCTTGGGCTTCTCGCACCGTTCTGATACCCTTGTATGTTGGGAAGATCTGCCTTGATACATGGGAAACCTGCAGAAGCTGCACAGTCACCTTGGAGGGGACATTTGGGTTTCATGGGCTGGGCTTTGTTTTTAGAGCAGACTACAGGTGGTTGATATGTCCCTGCACATAGGCAGAAAAGCAAACCCTGAAGTTCTGCAGGATGGGCCATTTGCTTTATCTCTTCCTGACTTTGGCAAGAGCTGCACAAATACACGCACTGGACATCATAATGCCAAGCAGCCGAAGCCTTCTGGATGCAGAGCTGCCCTGTGCCCATGGCAGGCAAGGTGCAGAGCCAGCTGGCGGGCTGCTGGCTTATGGCAGCACCAGTCTGGGCACTGCCGAGTGAGAAATTGCTGCTGTGATGTGCAGTCAGTGTTTCTGGGGGAAGCGAGGGGTAGTGCTGATTGCATCATCAGTATTTTTAATTGCAAGTGTCAACACAGAAGAATAATTAAGGGGTGTCAGGCTGTCTTACAGGATTATGCATGTGTGCTGGTAGGCTCACCTGGCAAGCACAAAGCTTGAGAAGCTGTGCCTGATCAGCACCAGGTTTGGATGTATCTAATTGTTTCCTATTAGTTCTTTGCAGGGTTTTCACTGCAATAGGTTTAAATTAAAGTCAGTTACGTAGGTGGGCACAGAAAAATGAGCATCCTGTTGAAAATCACCTTGGATGTCTTAAAAAATAAGTGGCGACTTCTCTCCGGCAAAGCTTTAAAGAACATGCTTAGTGCCAAATCTGGGAACAGTCTTACTTATTGCATTAAGGCTGTTCTATATTTAAATATAAGCAGGTGCTTACGTTCCTTATGTGTCAGGCACAAAGCAACTTCCCATGGTGGCCCATGCAGCTGAATAATGAGAAGGCAGCCTGGAAAGAGGGCTGAGGCTCTCAGGGCTTTATTCTGCAGTGGGACTGCATGCACAGCCTTTCTGGTGTGACCTTCTGTGCCAGGTCTTGCCTGTAGTTGTGTGAAGGGTCACAAGTGGCTAAAGACAGCGCTGCAGCTCTGTTCCTCCGCGTGACGGATGTGGGGGGTTTGCCTGAGCTGATCCTCATGGGACATGAGGACATGATCCACATGGGCATGCACAGCCTGCACCTCCATGTCCGTGCTGGCAGGCACAGAGAGGACACACTGAGCTTAGAAGGCAGCAGGCAGTAAACGTGTGGGAAGAGGGCAGGAGGAGTGGCTGAGAGCTCCTGGAGAAAAAGTGGTAGTTGCTGTTGTAGAGAAGCATCCACTTGTCAGCATGGAGAACTTGCAGTGGAGCTGGAGTTTGAAATGCCGTGCTGAAGTCTTCGGTGGGATGGGAGTCAGCAGGGCAGGATGGAGAGAAGCCTGGTGTGCGAGGAGAAGCAAAGTGTGCAATGGTGCAGAAGAAATGTGGCACAAGGAGGGAGGTGAAGGGCAGGAGTATGATGGACATGGCCTGCAGGGATAATCCGTGTTCCTCCCTTCTGTGCACAGAATGCATTGCTGCCGGCAGGGCTCCGACAGAGGGATCAGACGCAAAAGCCACCAACTGGCCCGTTCAAAAGGGAAGAACTCATGGCCCACCTAGAGCAGCAGGCAAAAGACATTAAGGACAGAGAGGACTTGGTGCCTTTCACTGGTGAAAAGAGAGGTATGGTCATCCATGGTGAAGCAGGACGGGTGGGAAGCCTGCAGAGCATGCACAGCAGGACTATCCCCTCTTCCTGCTGCCCTGCCTTCCAGCACTGCCGCTTGTGCTCCATCCTTGCACCTTGAGTTCCTCTTGGTGCAGAGGAGCAGCACGGCTCTGCTCAGATGTAATGATCCTCACGGTTTCCTTCTGATCTTCTTCATGTCATAACAGTCTCAGCCTTCTTTTCTGGTCTCCCACAACTTGCATGCCTGTGCTTCCCGCACCATCCCTGCAGCAGCACCATCCCCTTGGCTCAGGGTGCTGCTCTGCCTCACCTCTTTCCTCTCCTCCATCCATCATCTGATTACCCAAATGACTTCCCTGCTCCCACTGGCATTGTGAACGTGACCTGACACGGGATGTGGTCTGGTCTGTCCTCATCTCTGCGCTCCAGGAGCTTCACAGCAGCCATCTTTTGCTGCACACAGTCCTGCCCCCAGCAGAAGAGTTGTTGGCATGCTGTTCTCTGCTGGAACCAAAACACAACTGTGTGAACACGGGCAGCCTGGTCCAGTGGTTGGTGACCCTGCACATAGCGGGGGGGTTGAAAACAGGTGATCTTTGAGGTGCTTTTCAACGCAGGCCTTTCTATGATTCTATGAACACGTGGTGAGCCTCCCCTGAAGCTGCCCACTAATTACTACCCCCACTAGTTGTGCTGCAGAGCACAGAGCTGCTTCATTGCCAGACACAGCACCGGCGTGGTACAGCAGGGCCCAGAGAGCAAGCTTCCTGAAACTAAACCCTGGTGGTTACAGTGAAGGGAGCCGGCAGAGCTGAACTTGCCTGGTGTTTACTATTTCTTGCCCAGCTGACCTGATAGCACGTGCAGTCTGCGAGCTGCCAGGCTGCTCCCGGCCCTTGCTGCCACCCTGGGGTGCACACAGCCTGCAGCTTTGCCCCGTGTGAGGACAAGGATGCAGGGGAGGAGATGAGCCATTTCCCTGCTTCTTGCAACCTCCATCTCGCCACGGGAGAGCCCTCCGTGCAGCTGCTCCTTCCCTGGGGCTAAATTTAGCTCCTCTGTGCCTGTACACCCCTGCAAGCAGGATCTTTGTTTCTCCCCTCCGGTCTCTGGCTCTGGTTTCAGAGAGGAGATGAAAATAGCCCTGCCTGGCATGCCAGGCCTTGCACTTGCTATCTGTGCAGCAACGCTGGGCTTTGAAGGGAGGGCTGTTAAGGCCCTGCCCCACTGCTCCTGCCCTCCCAGAGCCTTCTGACCACAGGAAGGGTCTCACATGGCCACTGCTAGCGCAAAGCCCAAAGGCTGCAAAGGGAGAGTGCCCTCTTTTTTCCTTGGGGCAGCAGAAGGGCAGTTTGATGGGTGACACGGCCTTGAAAGAAGTTTCCAGGTCAGGCTGTGCTTTCTGAGTGCTGTGCGTCGGAGCCATGGTCCTGTACAAAGCGCCACTCAGCTGCTGCAGATACAGCTGCTAAGAACATCAGCTCCAGCAGGGAGGTGTTCTGGCACGCTGAGCTAGGACTGTGCTGGCTGCAACCTGATGGGAAGCTCTCTTACTCCCCCTCCTCAGCAGGGCAAGGGGGAGGAGGGAAATGTGATGGAAAAAGGCTCAAGGACTGAGATAAGAGCAGGGAGATCACTCACCCATTACGGCCATGGGTCAAACAGACGCAGCGCAGAGATCAATGTGATTTATTGCCTACTGCTGAGAGACAAGAGCAGCGAGATCCAAAAGCAAACTAAAATCACCACCCACCACCCGTCCCCATTTTCCTCTTCCCCCAGGCAGCATGAGGGCTTCAGTCAGAGCCTAACGCTTCCCCTCTGCTGCTCCTCCACAGTCACTCTCTCCTAGGTCTGCCTGTCCCCATTGCCTTTGACACCATGCAATTCCTACCCCACAGAAGCACGCTGTCAGGAGCAGCAAAACACAGCCCTGCAGCTGTGGGACAGGTGCTGCAGCTATGCCGAGTGTGACCTCACTTTGCATTTATAGGAAAAGCTTGGATCCCCAAGCAGAAGCCAATGGATCCTGTTCTGGAAAGTGTGACCCTGGAGCCGGAGCTGGAGGAAGCCCTTGCTAACGCCTCTGATGCAGAGCTCTGTGACATTGCTGGTAAAACAGTTACATGTGAATTGGGGGTTGAGTTATTTAGCTGCTATTTTCTCTCTTTTCATGGGAGCTCAGCTATTGAGCTCATTGCTGATTGTGTAAATGTCACCAGTTTTGACAGGATTTTGTTCTTTATTAAAAAGGAAACATATATTTAGAGTTACTTTCAGTCCCACGTCCCGATGTGATTCATGAGGAGCACAGACCAACTCTGAGCAGGGAGAAGCAGAGCTTATCCGTGACCTGTTGGTTTCTCCTTTCCCTCCACCAAGCCTCACAAAATTCTGCATGCTTTCTTCTCGAGCACGGCTTCCTTGGAGCCAGACCCAGCAGTGTCCTCCTTGCTGTGGGGCAGGTGGGATAACCCCACCAACGAGACATCTTCCATGCAGTAACAACGTGCTCTGGTTCAGAAATGCACTTCTGCACTGGGGCTTTCAATAATCATTCCCTGACTGAGCCCTGCTTCTCTTTGTTTTGCTTTTCCACGGTGCTCCTAGCGTAAAGCCCTGCTCTGTCTTTCTGAGTGTCAGATCTCCAAGGCAGTTATTTTCACAGGGAAATACTGCCTGTGGCACCTAGCTCTGCGCTTCTGGGGAGAAGATGCTTGAAGCTGCAGCAGGACTGGTATGATGCAAGCTGTGCTGAAGGCTCAATATTGGCAGTGCTGCTTTTCCAAGTTTGCTAAGACTGTAAAAAAGCTCCTGCCTATCTTGCAGGGCTCATTGTCAGCCAGGATACATTGGCTCTTGTCCTTGGCAAGCCCAGTGGGATAGTCCCTGTGGGTGGCTCCTGACGAGCCTTGGACGGAGTTCCTGTGCCTTTGGTGGTTTGAGAAGGCAGAAGTGGGAGGATGTCTTTTGGTTTGAGTGCCTTTGAGCAGGACACACTAAATGCCACACGACAGTTCCATGTCACCTGCTGGTGTAAACTCCAGGCCTGAATGCCTGTGCATGGCTGTGATAGCCAACCCTCTCCCTGCCTGCAGCCTCGATACTCATGGTGCTGGTGAGTAGAGGGGCTGCGTTTTCAGACCAACAAGTGCTGAGCCTGCAAATAAATGGCTTTTCCTAGTCATTTGGGTGCCTGGCAGGGAAAACAAACACTCCAAGTTGCCATTCTCAGCTGAACTGCCATCTGTGAGTCAAGCTGCACTGCCATGAACAAGAGGGCATTTGAGCCCTGCTGTGTGTCTGTGACAGCTGGGGGCTCGGTCCCACCTCCATATGTTGTTCTGTGCCTGGACAGAGAATTGAGTGTGCTGCTGACTCTGTTTTGGGCTGCACAAGCATGTCAGCCATCTGGCTCTGGAGCCTGCAACAGATTTTGTTCTCCTTTTGTTTTATCTCTAGCCATCCTTGGCATGCACACCTTGATGAGTAACCAGCAGTACTACGAGGCACTGGGTAGCAGCACCATTGTGAACAAAGAAGGACTTAACAGTAAGTGATCCAGCATGCCTTGCAGGCTGCAGCATTTGCCTGCCAGCTTGGATGCAGAGGTGAAGTGGGAATTATTTTTAGGCTGAGGGTTGGGTTTTTATTTTCGGTGGACTCCTGCCACCCGTGCCAGGCTCATGTGTGAGCAAAGGCCCTCTCTTTGGCTGGAGCACAGTTGCTACAGCTATCCAGCCCTGGGTTGGTGATGTTTCCTTTGCAGTCTGCCATCTCCTTCAGTTTGCCAGAGATGTGGCTCTTTTGGGGTGGAGTGGTTGCCCCCAACCAGGGGAGATGCATAAGTGGAAGTGCTTCCTCCCAGAGTTTCTTTGGAAGAGGTCAGCTGGAAGGCCAGTCCAAGCTGAGCAGAAAAGATATCTCCTGGGAAGGCGTTCCAGCCAGAATGGTTTCTTCATGTCAGAAATAAAGCACATCACTTGCAAGAGGAGGCAACAAAATTTCTTTGTGCTAAGTCTTTCCTTCCAAATCATGACCAGTAGGGGAGGGCAGGAACTGCTCAGAGGAATGGTGGTGGTGGTATCACAGAGCAAACTGCTGGGAAGAGGCTGCTGCGTTAGCTGACAGAACACCTTGCATTGATCTGGCTCTCTCTTCTTTACCTTCACCTTGTGCATCTTAACATGGGTCTGCTCTCAGATGGGTGTTTGAAGAGTGTGCAGGATCAAGTATGCTAGAATGGCTTTGGTTGGAAAGGACCTTAAAGCCCATGCACTTGCCACCCCCTGCCATGCACAGGGCTGTCCTCTGCCAGCTGAGACTGACAGAGCAATCTGATTGCTGGTGCAGCCTCCGCTGCATCGTTGCTCTGTTCCCACCAGCACTCCTCTGCCCTGGCCTCATCCAGAAGAGTGCACAGCCCATGCGGGTGGCATGCCTGCTGTCACCTGGCTCTGGTCCCCAGGAGCACAAGGCAGCAGACACCAAACGTCCCATACTGGTTGTCTCCAGTGCCAGGCAGCGTCCCTGGATGCACATGAGTGTCTGCAAGGCTAGTAAGTGATTGTGCAGTCTTTCATCTCATGTCTGCTGCTCAGGTCATACTTCTCTCTTCCAGTGCTGCTCTTCAGAGAAAAGAAACGCACCTAAAGAGGACATGCCACTACTCTGGGTGTTTACATTTTCCCTCTCTTGCTTTTCACTTGCAGGCGTGATAAAGCCCACAAAGTACAAACCAGTTCCTGATGAGGAGCCAAACTCAACGGACGTGGAAGAAACTCTGAAACGAATACAGAACAACGACCCTGATCTTGAGGAGGTCAACCTGAACAATATTATGGTATGTGCACCTGCCTGCTCTCCTCTCTAACGACACCACACGTTTGCTATGCAGAGGGCAAAGACCAAGCCTGCTTTGCTGCATGGGACAATACCATAATCCTGCACTTGGCCAGATGAGAAACCCCAGTGCTTCCCTTATGGTCAAGGGGAATCGCTGCCTGCTGTGGGGATAATGATGTGGAGCTGGTGCCTGAAGGAGCTGAGCTGCACTGGGGGCAGGTGCAGAAAGCTGCCTCCAGCCTATCTGGTTTAAAGTGTCCCGGGTTCTTTTAGTAGTTCAGGCAGCTGCATCTGGTAGAGGTAAGGTAGAGACAATTTTCTGTAAGGCAAAGTGGTGAGAAGAAAATGGCTTTGTAATCTTGATGCTTGCCATGGAAATAAGAACTGTGTTACACAGTCCATCTCCCACCTGTCCCTTCTTTGGGACTCTACTTCTTGCAGAAAGCAGGCCAGGGCACAGCACCACTCCTGGTGTGGCTCCTGGGCACATACGTACACAGATAGAACGTATATGTACATTCTATGTGTACATTCTACCTGTTTCTCGACTTGACTACCCCCAGCCCATGCTGAAATCGTGATGGGATCAAGTGGCAGGAATGTGCATGCCATGAGCACTTGTGTGTGCAGTATGCACCTTTCTGTAATGAAAAGGTTTTTATTTTTGCATATTCAGTTCAGGCTAATGACCGTGAATGTCTGGGAGAACACCAGCCTTGGGTTCTGGTAGGAAGACAAAGGATACTGGTGTTAGATGTGTGGTTTGGGGACAGTTTATAAAACTAGGTGGTGATGGTAAAGCTGCTGACTGCAAATGGCTTTGACTATGGATGACACCAAATGGAGGGATCCAACGGCGTGATGCTACAGCTCAAAATGTTAAACCAGTGGAAATTCTCAACGGGGTACCTAAAATACTCATAAAGCAAAAATTACTGACTGTGGATGAATTGAGAATAAGCAGCATGGATTTCCTTTCTGTTCTGGGACCTACCATGGCAAATGTTAGTCTGAAGAATGTTTTATGGCAACATTTATATTGCTTTGTAGCAGTCAGAAGTGACTGTAGTTTGCACCAGAGGGAAATCAGTTCAGATCTTTGTGGATCAGGCCCTCACAGGTGGAAAGTTTCTGGAACGTAGTCTGGATGTTGCTCAGTGTGTCATTCATCTGGAAATCATAGGAGTGGTGCTGTGTGGGCTTATGCATCCTAGCTATGTATGTCTCCATGAGTCTCAGTTCACGTGTATCTAAGTTGCTGGAGAGTTAAATTAAACAGTGAAGAAACTGCATCTTCAAACTAAGGCAGGGCGGGAAACAGGATAGAGACATTACCACACTCCTTAGGCCATGCAGTTATAGCAAGCATATATATAAGAGCACTTATCAATCCCTTCCTAAATTGCTTCAGGGTGCCCAGTGAGTTGATCTCAGTGAGAATTTTGGAATATAGTTTAAATGTACTGCATATCTTTTGTGACCTAACACTGGTCCTCTGCATTCCTTTTCGCAGAATATTCCCATACCAACTTTAAAGGCCTGTGCTGAAGCACTGAAGACTAACACTTATGTGAAGAAGTTCAGCATAGTTGGGACGAGGAGCAACGATCCTGTTGCTTTTGTAAGTATGGTGCCATGCTGTGTTGGCTACTCGTGGTAGAGCTGCAGCAGGGCTTGTTCTTGGACAAGGTGTTTTCAGAGTGAGGTGGGCAACACTTGCAGCCAGCGGCAGTCTGGTTGTAGTGTCACATGGAGGAAACCTTGGGCAGGTGGAAGGTTTTCCAAAGCCACCATGCTGACTTTGGAAGAGGGATGGACAAGAAGAAGGGTTATCACAGGCGGGGGCTGTCCTTTTTTGGGGTGGGTCTGAACATTTCTGCATACAAGGCATTGCTGTGGCCTCCAGCACCCTCAGGTTCAAGGAGTCCCTCAGAATCGGAGGGAATTCCCTTCGTCCTTCACAGAACTCTCCCTTGTGGTGGCAGTGACACCATAGAGCATACCAGCTCTTCCAGGTATCCTCCAGGGAAGAGGGGAGCCAACCCCAGCTGCTCCAGAGCGCTCTGACCCTGCCCGTGTCATGCCAGCTCCTGCCAACTGCTTCTGCCTGCAGGCTCTGGCAGAAATGCTGAAGGTCAATAACACGCTGAAGAGCCTGAATGTGGAGTCAAACTTTATCTCTGGGTCTGGCATCCTGGCTCTTGTTGAAGCACTCCAGAGTAACACATCCCTCATAGAGCTCCGAATCGACAACCAGGTAAAGCAGAAACGAGCAGAAGCTCTGGTCAATGACAGCATCCTGCTAGCAGGAAGTCAAGCTGCTGCTCAGAGGGGAGGGTGACTGCCTTCTGCTGCTGCCACTTAATTTTGGGGAGGTTTTAGCTCCTCATTTGTGCTGCTACTGCCTTCAGCATTTAACAAAGCAGGTTTCTGCATTCCCAGTGCTGCCCTGGGAGTGCAGTGATGCACCTGCCCGACATCATGCTGGGCTCTGAGCATTTAGTTCAGCTGGAAGCCTAATTAATAATGGTTGATCAGAAAAAACTGAAATATTTACTGCGGTGCAGGAAAAGAGCAGGTACAGATCAAGAGGGCTGTGGAGTGCGCAGTGGTATTGATGTCTTAGCAAATTTGTCTTCTGCAGAAATGTAGGGGGTGGAAATAAAGCTACTGAGCCATGAGGAGCTCTGGGTTGGGTGACCATGAGATCAAAATTAAGGGGTCCCTAAGTACCTCTTAGCTGCAGGTCTGTTCAACAAACAGTCTTTGGGCAGAACATGAAGGTGTCTGCTGGAAGAGCTGGACCAGTTGGTTGTAGCAGACCAGGCCAGCAGGTGCCCAGCAGCTCCAAGTCAGAAAAGCCAAATGAACCAACAGATCCACAAAAGGGAAGGAGTAAGACAGCAGATGTAACCTGAGCCTAAGCAGTGTGACAGTGACTGGGAGCATCCAGGCAGAGGGGGCAAAAATGTGTGCAAGTTTCTCACAGAACGGCCAGGGTTGGAAGGGACCTCAAGGATCATGAATCTCCAACCCCCTGCCACATGCAGGGCCACCAACCTCCACATTTCATATCAGACCAGGCTGCCCAGGGCCCCATCCAACCTGGCCTATGGATGGGCTGTCCACAAAGTTTCCGGTGACAATAAAATACATGAACTCTAATAGGGGTGGTAGCAATAGCAGGGGAGAAGCAGAACTATCTGGTCCATCGCCTGGCCAGCTGGTGGCAGCTGAAGGCCGTGGAGAAGAGGAACTCGGCAGCACTGTGCAGCAGGAATGGAAGCACGCCTGTCCTCACTTTCTTTTCTGTTCTCTGTTTTCAAAAGAGCCAGCCTTTGGGCAACAACGTAGAAATGGAAATTGCGAACATGCTGGAAAAAAACACCACCCTGCTGAAGTTTGGGTACCATTTCACTCAGCAAGGTCCCCGGCTCCGCGCATCCAATGCCATGATGAATAACAATGACCTAGGTGAGTGGGCTGGCTGCGAGCCCTGCTGCTGCTGTGGGCAATCCCTTGTGGGAGGAGGACGGCCACTCACTCGAAGGTCAGGTACCACCTCCCCCGGGGCCCGACGATTCCTTGATCCTCAAGGAGGAACAGCCTCCACCTGCCAGTTCCCAAATGCCACAGGACCTGTGATGGTTGCTCTTGGCGTGGCAGTGGAATGTGCTCTTAACCTGGAGATGCTGTGCAGCCTGAAATCATGGATAAGAGTGCTTCTGGACGTAACAGTGGATGTTGTTGGGAAGGAGTGAGAGCTGTAAATGTGCCTTGGTAATGATGTCCGTGATATAGCAGTGCTTGTGATTGCTGCCAACTGCTCGTCTTCCTCCAGTTTCATTTTCACTTTGACTAAATGAAAAATATTAATAGAGTTGCATTTGGAACACGGTGGATTTTGGCCCATTCTCCTCCATAAAGCAAACTGGAAGTATTTCTAGGGAGAGGTGGCTTTCAGTTCTATTAATATCCTCAATGAAGTGATCAGAACTGCTTGTGAAGCAAAACAGGGGTAAGTCTGAAAAGTGCTCTTTAAGCTAATGTGTGTGACAGAGGGTTGCCATTGCCTGGCAACTGGCTGCCATAGAGCACTGGATATCTGTGCAGCAGATAAAGATTGGAACTGCCAGCCCAGGTGGGTAGATGAGGTGATTAAAGACATAACCACCAAACCCTTCCGAGCGGTGATGAATGTGACAGGGTGTGACAAGCAGAAGTTTGCAGGCCGGTTGAGGTTTAACATCAACTGGATGAGGTTTAACAGAAGCAAGTGTAGAGTCTTGCATCTGGGGAGGAATAATTGCGTGCACCACTACAGGTTGGGGGATGAGCTGCTGGAGGGGAGCTCTGCGGAGAGGGACCTGGGTGTCCTGGTGGATGACAGGTCGGCCATGAGCCAGCAGTGTGCCCTTGTGGCCAAGAGGGCCAATGGCATCCTGGGGTGCATTGCAAAGAGCGTGGCCAGCAGGTCGAGGGAGGTGATCCTCCCCCTCTACTCTGCCCTGCTGAGGCCTCATCTGGAGCACTGAGTCCAGTTCTGGGCTCCCCAGCACAAAACAGACAGGGAGCTCTTGGGAAGAGTCCAGTGGAGGCCACCAAGATGGTGAAGGGCCTGGAGCATCTCTGCTATGAGGAAAGGCTGAGTGAACTGGGTCTGTTCAGCCTTGAGAAAAGAAGGCTGAGAGGGGACCTGATCCAGGTCTATAAATATCTGAGGTGTGGGGGGCAGAATGGCGAGGCCGGACTCTTTTCAGTGGTGAGTGGAGACAGGACAAGGGGAAACGGCTGGAAACTGCAGCATAGGAAGTTCTGCACCAATGTGCGAAGGAACTGCTGTACAGTGAGGTGAGGAGCACTGGAACAGGCTGCCAGGGAGGGGGGGGAGTCTCCTGCTCTGGAGATGTTCAAGACCTGCCTGGATGCCGACCTGTGCGACCTGCTGTAGGGAACTGCTTTGGCAGGGGGTTGGACACGATGATCTCTGGAGGTCCCTTCCAACCCCTACAATTCTGTCATTCTGTGATTCTGTTGTTTGGCTTGCATTATGGGAGAAATCCTTCCTTGGAAGTTTGTGCAGTGCTCAGGGACAAAGCCAGCGTCTGCCCTGCTCTAGAGCTAGGGAGATTCCTGCTAGGAGGTGGGGCACCTGAGGACAGACCTGATGTAAATACAGCAGTCGTGAAGGAATGGTGAAAACCTAGAACCCTGCATTTTTATCTGCATGTGATTTACCGTGCATGGGGTCTTCTGATCCTTTTGAGTCAACTTCAGCTTGGAAAGCACAACAAATGCTAAGTGGTTGTCAGATATAAATGCAGTGTGTTTTGTTGGCTTTCATTTTGCTTTAAATAACAAAGCAGTCTTGCTTCAGGCAGTACCATGCTCTTAGGAAACATGGCCAAGCGTAGACCCATGTCAATTCCTCCCTGACCACACAGAATACTTACTTATTACAGCTCATTGTGTATTTATTCTGCCTTCTGCTGGATTTCTGTTCACTAGAGAGCTGCTCCAGAAAAGGCTTGCCATTTCCTGTCTTCAAGAGCAAGGCTTTTAACGAGCCTGAATGCGCAATATTCAGCTGGAAGATCCGGATCTAATATTTTAATTGTTCCTGCTTTGAAGGGAAGGAATGTGCAGTTTTGCCTTCCACGTAGCAGTTGTACGTTTTGCCTCCGACCATTAAGATCTGTATTTGTGTCTGACTTGGTTCTTGTTTGCAGCTCACATTCAGCGGTGTGATGGTCTCTGGCAATAGCTTCTCACCCCTACACCTGGATGATGTATAAGTATAGAAAAAATTTTATTTTCCTCCCTGTCAGCAAAAGCTGTTTCTGCTCCACTCCAGCGCTCTTGCCTACCATCACCTGATGCTACTGGTGCCCACTCTTGGTTCTGTATTTTCTCTCTCTAAGATGCCCTATCTGACCCAGCTGTGAAGGTGTTCCATGCTCACGAGCTAACTTCTGCATCCTCTCTATACTATTTCATTCGGTTTGTTTTTCCCTCACATGCATTTCTTGAAAAGTCAGGGATGGTGCTGTCAGAGTAAAACAACTATAAATGCAGATATGAAGCTGCTTTGACTAACTTAATTGTGATCAAAGGCCTGAAAACTCAAGTTGTTAGTTTAAAAAAAAAAATATATATATATATATATGTATGTATATTCAATTTGATGGGGAGAAACTAGAAGAAAAAGGAACTATGACTTCCATCTGTTGTCTTCCCAACAGCCATTATCACACGCCTTCCGTAAGAGTCAGATTACAAAGTCAGCTGCATGAGCTGCAATTGAAGAGTAAGGGAAGAAAGGCTGAAAGTGGTTTCTGACTGTAAGAACATGACGGCAACCTCAGCCTGCTCTCCTTATCCTTAACCTCTGTAAGGAGGGCCATACCTGCTGCTCAAAGCAGGAATGTGTAAGCTCATGCTATAATTGATCTTTCCTGACAGAAAGCGTCCTTCTTACAGTGACGAAGCCACTCACATCTCCCCATTGCCACGGCTGACTCCTCTTCCTCTTCTTTTTCAGTGAGGAAGAGAAGACTGGCCGAGCTGAACGGGCCTATTTTTCCCAAGTGCAGAACTGGAGTGTAGCTGCCAGCCACGGAGGTCATTCCCAGCGGGTCTGTGCTACTGTGACAACCTAAAGGCAAAGAAGTGCCTCGAGAGAGTTATTTGTGGTGCCTCGGTTCTGTTTCATGCACTAACAGTTTAAAGTAACTAGTGGCTGTAGTTGAAGAGTTTTATCCAGTAGCACTGTTGATGTTTTCTGTAGAGCTGGAAACTATTCAAGCCAGTAACCTGCCGATGTTGTGCAACCTCAGCTGAGCGTACACCCCGGTGTAAAAGTAACTGCAGTGACCTGGGACCTCATTTTTCTATAAACCTTCTGCACAGTGTTTCACGGAGGCAGCATGTGGTACGATGAGTGAGAGATACAACTCTTCCACACAAATTACAGAAGTATTAGAAAAATACTTTATTTTTTTTCCCAAAATGATCTCAAGTAGCTGTAGAGGAGCAACTAGTTTAACAAGAACTTCTACTATTCAGAAACATGGCTAAATTAGATAAATGCAAAGTGTATTTTTTTTAACCAACATCTGCCGAGTCAGTTACTTAGAGGTGCTGCTTCTCAAATGAATCCCCATGTTTCTTAGAAAAGACTGATCCCCCCCCATCGCCATGCAGTTAAGTAGAACTTAAGGCCACCAATTGTGAAATAAGAGTCTCAAAAACTGAGCACTGGAGAATGGTTTAGCATCATTCTACCCCATATGTGTATTTGAATAAAAACATCACTTTTAGGGATCTGATGCAAATCCTGAGTTTGGCCTGAAATAGCCAAACTAATCAGTAAATGAGAGTCCTCTCTTCTAATCCCCACATTTTCATGACTTTAAAAGTGCACGTCCAGATTCTCACTGGAAACAAGTCAAATCCCCTTTCTTTGCTGCTTTATCAAGATGACCCCGTCCATCAAATTTTGTTATGCTGCAGATTGTTTTGCTTAATGCCACCCCTAACATATGATGGGCATAAATGCAAGGCTAAACACCGTGTCCTCACAAAGCTGCTAACAAACATCAATATCCTGACTCTAAACTTAGACTGCGCACAGCCTGAAGCCTCTCTGTTGTTCCTAGAGGAGTAATTCCCCCTGGGGATACGCACCTCCAAGGCACGCAGAGCAGAGGACCCAGGACAATCCCATCCGACATCCCTGCTAGGATCCCGACCGATAGGAAGACTTGCCAGGCAAAAGCATTGCTGTGCAAAAGCCTTATTCTTGGTCTGACAACAACACATCCTAGCAAGAGTTCTCGCCTACAGTAACCTACCTGCACAGATCTGTTAAAAGTAGTTCTGCAGCCTCCTACACATAACTCCAGCAAAAGCCCCACAGATTTCTACAGAGCTTGTGCACAAACATCATGCACTTTGGCTCTGGCCAACAGAGCAGAGAAACACTGTGCTTCCATCAGTGTGGGAAAATTTGTTGTTCTTCAAAGCTTAATAAATGTGCCAGCAATGCCAAATAAAATGCGTTCCTATAGCTTCTTCCTCCCTCCCCCCAGGCCTGCAAGTCCCATTTCATAAAATTAAAATAATACATAAGAAAATGGCTTGAAGATATTAAACAATAAAAAAGAAACTGGCAGAAAACATCTTTCTACCATATGTGCTGCAAAAAGTTCAACTAATTCATCAAACCAGAGTCACAGTTTCAGCTGAGCCATCTACTCAGATCACAGAATGATGGCATGGCTTGGGGTGGAAGGGACCCCAAGGATCACCAAGCTCCAACCCCCCCAACACACGCAGAGCCACCAACCTCCATATCTAATACTAGACCATGCTGCCCCATCCAACCTGGCCTTGAAGATCTCCAGGGATGGAGCATCCACAGCCTCTCTGGGCCCTAGCAGGATGAACACAAAATGGAGTGGGTGTTCCTTGGAAGATGACTTCCAGACCAGACCTAAGCTGCATGACAGAATTACATGCTTCAGGAAATCAGCAGTGAGAGAAAAGGAACCTCTAATTCAGCATCCTATGGACACTCAACGTACCGTAAGTGAAATTCCACTTGCCAGGCACTTGTTGTCGAACGTTGCATGACGTTATCAGAAAAAGAAGCTACAGATCTTTTTGAGAAAATGATGGAAGACATGAATCTCTCCAAAGCTCCTTTAAGAGACAAGGATTTGTCCACAAAACGTGAGATGGCTGACAAGTACCTTTCTGCACCTGCCAAATCTGATGGACTGAAAAACAGTAAACATGAGTGTACCCTGTCCTCAGCAAGAGTACATTCATTAACTGCAATCTGGAACAGCTGAAGAAAAGCTTCTTAACTGTCCCGAGTCTCTGAGTGTGTCTTTAACCAGCTAGGCTGACAGTTTTGGACATGAAGGCCTTGCATTTCTGCTGGATGCCTTGGAAAGGCTTCTGGACAAGAAACAGCAGGAAAATATCAATTAGAAGAATCAACGTAGACTTATCCGGTGCCTCAAAGCATTTATGAACAACAAATATGGACTGCAAAGGACTCTAGGAGATTAAAGTCTCCTACTGTTATCAAGAGCAATTGATCCAAAGCAACCACATGACAACAGCAACAGTGAAAATACTTTCCGCTATACAGTCAGATACACATAGAATAGGCTCATCAGCCCCAGTGACTTCAGAACTGCATGAACACCTTACCCTGGGAAATCCTTATGGTACCCAGCGACCCAGACATGCAAGGAGATGCAGGTAGCACTGTCATGGACGTGACAGCAGCATTTAGTCTTCAGCAACAAAAGCCTTTTAAGAAACATCCTTTCCTGTTCTGCTGGAGTTAGCATCCACATTACCCATGTAGTCCAAACACAGGCTGATGGGCCCAGCCCTGGTAACTCAGCTGGTCTTTGTCACAGAGCTGCTTTGCTGAAGAGGCATGTCAGAGAACATCAGTGAGCCAACCACTGCGAAGCAGAGATGTGGCTGTGTTGAGAAGCACCAGGCTTTGCGAGGAAAGGCATCAAGTTGTGCAGCAGTGGAGTTACAAAACACAGACGTTTAGGATCAAGTGGATCACTGTTTCATCTTAGCAGCTCTCCAGCAAGAAAGGAAGAAAGCCACTGGGTGACTGCAGCCAATCCTGCCTCACTGACCTACCCTGGAACTGACATGTCTTCTTTAAGGCGTTACCACCAGCACACAGCAAGTCCTTACCTGTATTAATCTCAGAAAAGCAATGCAGAAAACAGGATAAAAAGCCTGCTCACGGGACTAAGCACGCATTTTACCCTTCCCCTCACCTATATGCAGCAGAGGGAACCTCTGTCTGCACATTTCAAACCCTTCTCCACCACTGCCTTAGTGCAGCAAGAACCAGAACAGGTGACTCTGAGGTAGGTAGGATCTCCAGTATTGTATGCAAGTTGAGCACTTCCACCAGTGCTCTAGATCAGTCCTGCAAGTACAACTTGCATATTTTTCCATTAATATTCCAATCTTCACCAGAAGTGAACTGGCCAGCTAAGCTTTGGGGGGTAAGATAGGGGGAACCAAGAGTCTTGCTCCAGCTTCTGCTGAAGATTTTTGCTGGCACTAACAGGTATAGCCAAGGTGACAAGAAAATAGCCTTTTTTAGGAGAAAAGATGCCAACCACCCGAGTAAATGGGTAGGAGAATCCAAACAACAGCTTTGTTTATAGGCCTCTTGGATGAGACCTTCAATTATTTTCTTTGACAAGACAGATGATCTTGCTCTGTCCAGTCCAGTAAGCAAGATCAAATTCATAGCTCAGTTTTACTAACATTTCTGGCACTTATGTATGGCGGATACAGCAGAAGGGAGATTGCAGTAAACAAAGGCATCAGCAGACTGGATTCCAGAGCTTGTACTTTATGACGACCTGAATACTTTGATCAGAGCTGTACTTTCGCCAGGTGAAGAGGCTAGAAGGAAATTTTCAAGATTCACATCCACGGTTGAGCACTCTTCTTGATGAGCTAGCTGAAGTACCTGTTGGACCCTGTGGTGCTGATACGCCTGTGTGCCCTTCACTGACACTCATCTCAGAGAGAGTATTAAAGTCATGTATTAAAATAGAAGATTTTCTTAGGGCTATGCAGAAAACCGTTCCAGCATCACAAGTGCAGTGGCTTCCCCTGCACAAGTACCATTACCCGTTATTAAGCCACTTCTCAGAAACACTAGACAGAATTCTACAAGCAGAGGTTATTTCCACACGCAGACCTTGCATAAAAGGATCAAAAGCAAGAAAGTATAGATCAGGCATGTCCAACCTGTGACATGGGAGAGCTAGTAATCAGCCCCTCAGATTTGTCTCAGAGGAATCTGAGAAGAAGCTGAAGTCCACTCCAATGCTCACGGCACGGGAAATAAGTAGGATGGAAGTTACGGTGCAATTAGAAAACCATGGCTTAATAGCTATCACAGACACGTGGTGAGACGAATCACCCAAGTGCAACACTAAAATTGAGGGCTACAAGCTTTTTGGAAGAGGTAAGCAGGGAAGGAGGGGTGAAGGAGTTGCCGTCTATGTTAAGAAATGGATAGATGGCAAAGAGCTGCCTCTGAAAAACAACCATGGACAAGTTGAGAGCTTGTGGGGTTAAAATTTAAGACCAGAACAATAAAGGGCATCTGGTGGTTGGTGTCTTCTACAGGCTTCTGATGAAGGGAAGCCTCTTGATGAGGCCTTCTCACATCGTCTACAAGAAGCATTGTGTTCGAAGTATCTCATCCAGTTGGGGCACCTCAACTGCCGCCTGGATGTCTGCTGGGAAAACAAGGCAGCAGGTTGTAAGCAATCCACAAGACTCCTAGAGCGTACTCAGCATAACTTCCTGGTCCAGATATTACACAGACCAGCAGTGGGTGAAGTATTTCTGGATCTGGTCCTCACTGATGCAGGAGAGCTCATTAAAGAGGCTAAACCTGGAGGCAGAGAGGGCCATGGGGATCATAGAACAGCCTGGGTTGGAAGGGACCTCAAAGATGATCTAATTCCAACCCAGCACAGGAAACCAACTGTTTCCTTGGCTGCATCAAAATTGAGGTGGCCAGTAGAGCAAGGGAGGTTACTGTTCCCTTCTGCCCTCACGAGGCCCCATCTGGAGTAATGCATCCAGGCCCGTGGTCACCAGCACAAGAAAGACAAGGAAAGGTTGAAGGGACTTCAACACAAAACCTTGTTCTGTCTCCACCTGTATTTGCAAAGCACAAATGCTCCCAACATCTTGAGTTGTTTAACGTGGGTAACAATCTTATTGCTTTTTCAGACATTTACACACACACACATCACCACCACTTCCACTGCCATAACTGGTATTATGACAGTCTCTGTCCTCCCCTCTCTTTGTGCCTCAGTAGCAACATGCTTCAAGCTGTCATTTCTTTCTAGTGCAAGCAGAGCTGAGTCGTGGATATTTCACTTACTCACAAGCAAAGGGATTAAACAGCAGACAAAAGGATCAAAATGAGAATCACTTCTGCTGGCCATACCACACTTCATAAGCAAGTACAGCTGGGCAGACAGTACCTATGAGCAATGCATGTCCTCTGCCTTTGCTGCAGTTGTGACAGGGATCCTTACTCTGCCTTCAAGCTTTTATGCTGGATTAAATCTGTGACTTCATGTCACTACCCTTTGCTTCTCACTACTGTAAAGCAAGAGGTAGGTGCAGATGGGTATGTATGTGGAAAATACCTTCAACTCTAATCTGGCGATTTAGCCAGATACTCATAAATCTGCAGTCTTCATAATGCTTGCACTGTCTATTACAGCAAATACATAATTAATGGAGAGGTCAGAAAGATCCACCATCATGGAAGAAGAAGAGTGGATTTTTTTTTTTTTGTCCCTTCAGTTTGTTTCAAATTGTGAGCAGCTGTGTCCCATCACACAACCTCTGCTGCAAAATCCCCATGGTAGAGGCCTGGCTACAAGACTAGGCAGGGAGAGGAATCCAGTAGCACTAGTAATAGATTGTACACTCCGGTGTACATGTTCAGGTAAAGCACTTTTTTTCAGGATATCAAAGTGAGTTATAAACAAGACTTTCCAAGCTAAAAGACTTGTGATTTCTTAGTAATCCAGTTGAGTAACAGATAGAGATTTGGTTTTAGAAGCCCTTCAAATAAGCGTGAGTGTCAGATCGGCTAATGAAACAGCTTAATCTTCTCCTGTGCCCCGTGTCCCTTGTGAGATATGTTCAATGGGTACCCTTGGCCGCCTCTTTGTGCATTCACATTCCTCCTTTAGTGCCTGTCCTGGAGCCCCTGAGGTCGCCTGAAGCTCTTTCTCTTGACAAAGAGGACAGCAAGCTGTGAGACCTTTCTTGCGACAACTCAGACACGTCAGGACAAGCTGCCGGCAGTGCTGGCTGGAACAGAGTTTATACTGGTCCCACAGCGTCCCACAGTATCTGCATGCTGCAAGGAGGAAAAAAAAACCAAACACATTATGACCCACATTGCTCCATCTGACCCTTATGCAGAAAGTTTTCTGTGGCATCGGGAGG